CAATAAAACAGAGGCAAAGATGATTTTCTTTCCATCAGGATAAGCTATTTGAATGTTGCTTAATAAATTTTGTCATCTGATGGAGGGAGGTAAAGAACAGCTGAATCTCATGCCTTACAGGAAAACAGGTGGGACCAATAAGAAGAAAGATGAGCCAAAAATCACGCAATTATTTTGTGTTAGCTTAATGGCTGCCTTGTTCTGCCCAAAGGTAAAGACATAGTTATCAGCACCATTTATCAAGTATACCATTTTAGTATAAACTTGTTTAAAACAGGGTAGAGCCCCTTTTTCATCTTAATTAGATAGTAACCCATTGATTCCAAGTGGGCCTTCATTTTCTAATTATTTAGTACATAATATAATGTCATTAAACATCTTGGAGTGGACAGGATTGCTCTAAAAGCTTTAGCTCCAGAGCTCTAATATTAGGCTTTTGGCATTTATCCCTGTGTGTGAAAAGCAGTCAAGTTTGTTTACCAGGAATTTAGATTCACATTACTGGGGGAATTAGCAGAGAGCTATTAGTCTGATTCAAGCACTTAACAATTGCTGATCATCTCCTCCTAGCCTGGGGATAATGGAGGTGATCAGCTGTAAATGGAAAGTATGTGGGGCTATTTTCATGAAGGCACTTGGAGAAAGTGCTGTATCCTCTGACCTCTGCTAACCCTGGGGTTTGCAAGAAACCCAAACACCAAGTCACTTCCTGGAGGAGAGCTAATCACCTATAAGAAGAGCTTCCATTAGAGACTAAACCAAGCTCAGCCACAGCCTCAGCTGACCCTCCCTCATCTGCAAAAAGGTTCAGCCACAAAATCCCTGAGGTAGGAGTGATTAGCCTCTGATCGTATTTACCAGTATCTGTTTTGATGGGGGAAGCAACCGTAGAGTAGCGGCTGGTTTTGATTCCATCGCAGTGCTGAATGATCCTGTTGAGCTCAGTAGTGCTGGTTGGCTTCCTGCTTCTCTGCTCTTGTCCCCAGAAGCTTTGTCTGGTTCATGGACACTTCAAAGATTACTTTGAAACTGCCTTCTTATTCTTCTGTAAAGTTGCCTACCATTTCAGCAAATAGAGCGACTTGTGATTTTTAGGATGTATTGAAAAAGATACTTCCTTTCCCTATAGGTGCTGAACCTGTAGTGTTTTCTTGTGAACTCGAAGTTACCTTTTATTGTCAGAAGATTTTAAGAAGCATGCCAGGGATCTATAGCCAGGAATTACTGTTTGAAGTAAAGCTTAGTTTTGCCTCATCTATGATGCATGTTGTGCCCCTCTTTAAAAGGAAAACTGCAGTCACTTTATTCTTACTGAAGGATATGCATTTTTTAGAGGCAGTGGGAATGGTTTTACTGAGGCAAGGACACAGTAATTTTGGACTTCTAAATTCAAGGCTGATCTCTGGCATCACCTTGCTTATGACCTTGGGCAAGAAATGTGTATTACTTCTCTCATCTGTCACACAAGAAACAACTTATCTAACACAGTGACTAAGCTCACTGCTGGAGAAGGACGATATGAATGCCCTTTGTAAATGCAACATTAGACTATGTTATGGGATCTAAAGCTATGTCAGAATTCTAGAAGCCACATCTGAACTACCTGGTGGTGAGTGACGTCTGTAAAAGTTGTTGATAAGATTGCTTTGTAAGAGATGTCTAACTCTGTTCTTTAAATTTCTTTCCCATAATGCCTCCAGCAGTAGGAGACAAGAGGTGTAGGAGACAAGGGGTGTAGCTTCTATTAAATGCAAAGGAAGGCGGGAGACTTCTAGAGCTGCAAGATAAATTTTATTAGTGAGATTTGGCATTATTTTACACTTTTAAAAATCTTCTACATCACAACAATTAGAAGGTTCCCTCCTTTTATATGCTTGCTGAGAGCTCAATGTTAAGACTGTTGGGGTAGAGAATTTCTATTAGATTATTTTTGTATTTAGACCAAAGGTATGCAAGGTGTTGTATTCTAGTTTCTGGGGAATAGAAACTGAGGGTTTTTTTGTAAATTGCCCTACAGTATGGTTAGTAAGAATTGAATGGGTTTAGGTAACTGTGCCAGTCTTTGAACATCACTGGTGCTAACAGAACTGAACTGATACTGATACTGGCTTGACATTTCTTAGTAGTGCTGTACTTGTGCATGCATGTATGCTGTGTAGTTGAATAACTGTGATATTTGGAGATCAGATGTTAACAAAAGTCTTAAGTGAAAATGAGGTTGCACTCATAGCAGGTATATTTAGAAGTGAATTTTGTTTGCAGTTATTGATGAACGAGCCTAAGAGGCAACTGCGTGTATAAAGGTGCATTATGTACATGTGAAAAGGACATAGGACACTTGGAGAAAAACCCAAACTGACATGTTTTTTGCTTTAATTTCAGACTAGAGCAGGATTTGTGTAGGTGTCAAGCATTTTCCTATGTAATCCAGGATATGACAGGAGGCTGCAATTGCAATCAATAACCTTCTTAGTAGGGGTAAGGGTCTAAAGGTCCACAGTGCTGTGAATATGAACAATGAAACGCTAATACCTTTTTCCATATCAACCTGTTTTAGAGCACTAAAGTGGGGAAAGAAGAAAGATCACAGTGCAGATGAGTAGAAGATGAATGCAGTACACTGTGTGTGGTACAGACAGCTCAGGGAAATCTATTCCATCATTCTCACAAAATATCCTTACTGATTTGTGGAATATTGGAAAGAACAAGGCTTTCTTCCCTGTCACTCTCCACTAAATTCTGGAGATGAGAGACGATACTACGCTACAGTCAAGAGCCTTGACACGTTTCTAGTCTCACCATACAGGGGATAGTCTAATGTAGATACTAGAATATGGTAACATGGACTGAAGTGGAAATATTACCACTGCAGAAGTGCAACTAGTCTGATATATGCAACAACGTAAGATTCTGTAATCAGATGGTGTGTGACAGTGACAGGGAACCACAGCATATTACCTGTTTGGTGCTTTTCTGGCAACAGATAGGGCACAGGGTAAAAAGAAATACCCACCTGTTCTGCATCTATTCAGGACTGTAATATTGTTTGACCATGTAGAATATTGTTTAGATCTGTTGTATCTCATAGGATGAGCAAGGGGCACTATATGTGTGCATGGAGGAGCTGCTCTGAGCTGAGTTTCTAGCTATCCTGAAAGTGTAGTCTGGCTGATGAGACAACTCTTCCACACGATGGTGGACTATTAACCTATGCTCAGAAATCAATATTCACTTAACACCACATTTTAACAGGCAAATGCAGTACAAAATAACAGCAGTTACACAGTGCACACATTTACACTCAGAATAAACAGGTCATGAAAGAGAGCTCGACAGAGGAGGAGGAGATTGGGCAGGCAGCGTGGAAGGGGGACAGTGACAACCTGAGTATGTGGAGAACTACAAGGTAGTTGCAGCTCCCACAGATTTTTACAACTTGAGTGTCCCAAGAGTTTTGTGGTCTATACAGCTTCAATGAGCTATATGCTTTCTCTGAGCATTACTATGGTTTGTCCTGAGGCCAGGCCAGGTTATCTTTTGCTAGACAAGACTAAATTTACTGAGGTTGAGCACAGAAATCCACCTTAACCCACAAAGCCCAAGTCTGTTGGTAGCTGTGATAATGGATGATATATATACACGTTGCAAAGGGCAAAACAGAAAGGAGCAATAATACTAACTGTATAGTGTCCTTGATCTGGCGTGGCATTTTTCATATACTTAAAATAATGGATTTGAAAGGGGAACTGAAAGTAATGCAGAACTGGTGTTTACTTTAGGGACTTTATGTGTATGTTTATTGAGTTTTACTTGCAACCCACCCTGGAGTGTGGACTTCCAGTCTTTAGGATGGTATGCTGTACTGTATGCCTTGACGTGCTTGAGGAGTGGACCCACAGGAACCTCACAAAGTTCCACAAGGGTAAGTGCAAGGTCCTGCACCTGAGTTGGGACAATTCCTAATATCAATACAGACTTGGCGATGAATGGGTCAAAAGCAGCCCTGCAGTAAAGGACTTGGGGATACTGGTGGATGAAAAATTGGACATAAGCCAGTAATGTGTGCTTGCAGCCCAGAAAGCCATGTTGTATCCTGGGCATCATCAAAAGAAGCATGGCCAGCAGGTCAAGAGAGGTGATTCTCCTCCTCTACTCTACCCCACCCCACCTGCAGTCCTGCATCCAGCCCTGGGGTGCCCAGTACAAGACAGACATGGACCTACTGGAGCGGGTCTAGAGGAGGGACACAAAAATGATGAGAGGGCTGGAACACCTCTCCTATGAAGAAAGGCTGAGAGAGTTGGGGTTGTTCAGCCTGGAGAAATCTGTGGAGCCTTCTTGGGGCCTTTCAACTTATAAAGGGGGATCATAAGAAAGAGAGAGAGAGACTTTTTACCAGGGCCTGTAGTGACAGGACAAGGGGCAATGGTTTTAAACTGAAAGAGGGTAGGTTTAGATTGGACATAAGGAAGAACTTTTTTATGATGAGAGTGGTGAGACACTCATAACACAGGTTGCCCAGAGAAGTTCTGGATGCCTTCTCCCTGCAAGTGTTCAAGGCCAGGTTGGATGAGGCTTTGAGCAGCCTGATCTAGTGGAAGATGTCCCTGCTCATGGCAGTGGGGTTGGAGTAGATGATCTTTAAAGGCTCCTTCCAAGCCAAACCATTCTATGATTGTATGCCTGAGGAAGACCTCCAGAAGGTGGAGTGGTAGGACACACTGTGTCAGGTGCCTCACTGCAATCAGAAATCAAACCCTGCACAAGTTCTGATGGAACTCAGACCTTTGTTTTAAAATATTGTGCTGGAATATTAGTCTGACTGTTACTCAGAATGGTAACGTGGCAGAAGCAATGGTGAGCGCCATATCTGCAGAGCTCAGTGCAAACTGCTTGGGGGAAAGTGGGGTGCAAATTGGGGGGAGGTTTTCAGTGACCACTGTTCTGGGTTAAGGCTATTCCATTCCTCTTTTGCAGAAGCCTTCTGTTTCCCAAAGGTAAATCAGTAGTGGGAGGTGCCTGGATATGGAATAAGATTAATAATATGGGAAGGAAAGATGTCATTTATGCCAAGTTAACATGGGCTCAGCAACAGGGCCAGGAACAGAGCCAGAGATGGCCAAGAAATAGCAGCTCCAGAATATACAGAGGAGGCCATGGGCATACTGCTGTGTTTGGAGATGACTCGCTGTGTCTTCTCTTCATCCACCTAGGAAATGAAAAGGAGGAATGAATTCCAGTTGGACGTATTTATGTTCAAATGTCTGGCTGCAGAGCCTCCAGGAAACTCCTGTGGCCAGGCAGCATGGCCTCCTATTTCTGCTTGTTTGTGGAAGGAATAGTTTGAGGTAAAGTGGCCCAGGGTTCTGCATGCATGTGGCATCCCTTGCTTTGATGTCCAAAAATCACGCATTTACAGATCCCAGGTTTTTCAGCTACTAGTCTCTAGGCCACTTGACTTGCTGCTTTGTGAAGGCAACAAAGCAATGCATACCTGGGACGTTTCTGAAGCAAGAGCTGTGCTGGCACCATCTCCTTGGAAGCTTAGGGAAGATGAATAAAGTAAGTCTTCCTGTCTTTCCAGAGCTGTCTTCTTCAGGTGCATTTGAGACCAAATGGTATTTTCTGCAAACAGAAATAAAGCAAGAGGCTTATTGTGCTTTTCTTGTGCACACCTTGGAGTCTAGTGAATGGAAGTCTAGGGAAGCTATTTTAGGAAATGCACTCACAGGCTGTATGGCTTTGATTTAGAAAATACATATTCTCTGTCCAGTGAATGGCCTGTTTGTGGGTTTACTTGCGAGGTTAAGCAGACTGCAAAGCCAATTTGCACTGTGCTTGAGGACCTCTGGATCCCTCTGGGACTTTCCCAGCTGTCTGTTTTGTATGGGGCGGGTAAGTAGTATCTCAGATGGGATGCTTAGGTTGTAGGTGTATCTATAGTGCTGGGTGTAAGGCTTTTCTGAACAGCAGAAGGTTGGTTTAAATATTAAAAATTTATCTAATGATGTCAGTTTCTTTGGTATCCTTTGGAAGCTTTTACAAACATAAAATATTTAAATCTTATTAAGGTCTGTTGCTAAAATGCTAGGGAGATGAAAGAAATACAGACTTAGAATTACACAGTTGCATGTAACAGGATTTTTGTAACTGCTATGCTGCTGAATCTAATAACAGGGTGTTTCAGGAGCTATTTATCTTGACCAAGTAAGTGAGGGCCAAAGGCGAGCATAGGGGAGGAGGGGAACCCAAACCCCATATTCCTGGTGCACTGATGTGGTTACTTGGGAACCTATTGATACAGCACGTCTGACTTCCCCTTGTGATTTTTTTGCAATCTCTTCGTTTGAATGCTATTTGGAAATAGCTTCATGGTGCTTGAGGTGAATGGAAGTGTTGCCAAAAGATGCAGAAACACTTCTGAAAGCAGATCCAGGCAGGTCCCATAGGTTGGATAGGACATCATGGAGACACTGCAGAAGAAGACAGAACTATACACAAGAGCAATGCAATGTAGGATCTTGAAATCAACCGGATTTGAATGTCCCTGTGCTGAGCTGTTTCTCTGATTCTGTGATATGATTGATGCTTACCAAGGCATTTGTTGCTCTCAAACATGCCAAGTATCTGGTCACACTTCTCCTTCTGGTTGCCGCTGCTCTCACATGTACACCACAGGGAGACCTCCACACTGGAGTTACTGACATAGTTAGGTGTCATGGGCGTGCCTGTCCCAAACCCACAGAAACTGGAATCAGGATTTACTTCACCAAAGAAAGAAGCAGCATGAATGAGTCCTGATATACTAAAGGGAATGCTGCCCTGGAGGCAGAAGCCTTCCATGGTGTTATGCGTGTTACCCAGGAGAGGTCCGGAGCCCCTGTGAAGTGACCGAGACCTGGTGAATCTACGTGAAGTCTGCTGGGCTGTGAGAAAGTGTGGAGATTGCTACCCCTGACTCATGCAATCTGATGGCGGGGTATACTGATAACTGAAGCTGGTGCAAGCGTTAGATTGAAGGATGTGAAGCCTCTGCAGGGACTCAACTGCGGTACTGTCATATGGCAGCAAAAGACCCTCTTCTTATGTAGCTGGCAACACTCTGTGGCCAGATGCCTTGTGCCAAACAAATGCTGCACCTCTGTAGCGTGCCATTCAGCCAGAGTTCATTTAGCACAAAATCAGCAAAGACATGGGGAAAACCAGCAGGATATTCCTGCTCTTTACGGCTCCTCTTTTGAGCCACTCTGGAAGAGTATTAGCAGGTTGCCAGTGAATGCCTAAAACCAAGGTGACCGTCCTTCTAACAGTTGGTAGTGCCATGTTCTGGCTGGCTCTGAGAAGACAGTGTGTACAACACTTAATAAACCATCAGGAGTCTGACGGTCAGGCAGTGAGGGAATGTCATGTTTAATCACTGCTGTGATTGGGGTGTAACTCCTGCAGCAGGA